TATTGAAATGAAGACATTCCTGATATGTGAAAACCACAAATACCTTAGCCCACAATTCCACCTATCCTCGATTACTGTTTTCCAGTTGGAACCCATGAGCATGCTTGTCCCACACTCTCCAAGTAAAAGGACTCATGTACTATCATTTTGTATTCCCCCCAAATTTGATCAAATGAAGGGGGAGATTTTCCAAAAGGAGTAATTCAAATGTAAGGGATCTTTCTGATAACTAAGGATTAATATAATTGTTTATAATCTCTGGGAATTATGTGCATCTAGCAGAGGCAGTAAATGTGTTTGAAAAAATTAGAGAATGAAGAAATAAGAGGTTTGCAGAAATTGTTGTTTATTGCATATCTTGTTTTCTGTTAAAAATAGAGACTGTGTTTGCCTTCACAGCAATGTCAAATGGTGTCAGCATATTCCCAAAGCTAGTGCTTGAACAGACTAAAAAAAAAAAAGAGCCATATATGAATATAAATATTCTATCATGAATACTATTTAATAAATGGCAAACTGGGAAATACTGCAGCTAAGTGACACACATTTTAATACAATTACTGTATTATGCAATGAATTTTTTTCAAACCAATAAAATGTGGAACATATTAATTGAAACAATACTAGCTGATATAACAGATAAACCCCTAAATTTCTTGCTCACATAACAGCCTATCACAGTTATTCCCAGTTAGTTGACTCTTCTCCAAGCTATGATTCAGGGGCCTAGGCTGTTTCTATCATGTGTTTCCACAATTGTCAACAAATAGCTTCCAAGGTCACCCGGGGTGTTTTTTCCATCCAGCCATCTGTTAGGGAAAAGGTTGTCAAGCCAGGAAATTTTGCAGACCACTTAGTTCCACATTTATTGGCCAGAACTCAGTCACATGGCTGCATTTGTAGTTTAGTTGTATGTTCAAGAGGAAAAGGAAATGGTTTTGGCGGAAACAAGACATTCTCTGTAATATACTCCTTAATTATCTTCAAAAGAATGGAGGGATAATTGAAGAAAATAATCATTATCAGCCTCAATTTTTTAAACTGTTCTTCCTATGGTTTAGGTCAAATTTAAACTTATATAACACTTAGTTTCAATTTATTTGTACTTATTCAAAAAATAATATCTTCTGTTCATATTTGGTATGACTTTTTTATTATCCATATTTTCTGGCTGTCTGATAGAAAACAAAAACAATTGTTTTCAGTTCTCAAGTACTACAGAATCCATTACAGCAATATTATGGATGGTTAGATAGGATTCTCTTAATAAACCCTAGGAAGCAATAAAATTACTAAATTGCCTTTGCACTTCAGAGTAACAAGTTAACTGGGATAATTAAGGGAGATATTTGCAATTATTAGAAATTCTATTCTAGAGAGTCAAAAATTCTTCCATATATGTTCGTGTGACTACTCTTAATTTTAGTACAAGGTAATTGGCTAGCTTTTTGTTCTCTAACTTTATTAACAGAATCTATTTGCAGTTAATAGTTCCATGTAGAGAAGGTAAGAAATAGTAATTATTCACTGAACAAAACATTTCCATTTTTAAAAAGTAGCATTAATCAAGGACATTTAAAAAGGAAAACTAAATGAGCAATGCCCTGATGCAATCTATGACCTTGGCTTCATTACTACCATATTCTAGCTAAAAGAGTCAGCAAGTAAAGTGATGGTTAAAGAAGTTTGTAGGCATACTTCTATAAATAAGGAAATGAGCTCCAAATGAAAGTCCAGACAAACGTGCCTCAAAACTGAGCTTATTTCAAGGGGAAGTGTTATCCACCATAACACTTTTTTTATTCTCTTAGGACTTCCAAGGAACAACTAGACTTGGGGTAAGGATTTTAAGAAAACAAATGTGGGAATTTCTTCGGGATGAAACTGTGAGGGTTTTTTTGACTCACTTCAAATAGTAAATATATTTTTTTGTGAGCATCTGATCTAGGTAAGTGAGAAACACACCAGTTGAGTATATATCCATATTGGTTCTTGATAAGATCAAAATTAACACATGCAGGGAAGTTCTACAAAAGCTGATAACAAGATATCGCACAGCAAAGAACCGGAGCACATAGCCAAAGTGGACCAAACTAAGCAAAAAGGAAAATAATTTGCAAGAGCTGACATGAGAGAAAATAGCCATTTAAAACAGCGATTGACCAATAATTCTTTTTTGGGGGGGAGGGGAGAGGTTTGAACTGCCAATCTTTGTTTAGGTTAGCAGCTGATACAAGTAAAACACACACAAGCTAAAAAGCCCAAGTGAAGAAAAGCAGGGTATAAAGTTGTGTAAATGGTACAATTACATTTATGTAAAGATTGTTGTTTGTTGCCATCGAGTTGGTTCCGACCCATAGCGACCTCACGTACAACAGAACGAAACACTGCCCAGTCCTGTACCATCTTCACAATCGTTGCTGTGTTTGAGCCCATTGCTGCAGCCACTGTGTCAGCCCATCTCAGTGAGAGTCTTTCTGTTTTTCGCTGACCCTCTACTTTACCAAGCATGATGTCCTTCTCCAGGGACTAGTCCGTCTTGATAACAAGTCCAAAGTAAAGGAGATGAAGTCTCACTATCCTCACTTCTTTTTTTCTTTTTTCTTTTTGTGCTTAGGTGAAAGTTTACAGCTCAAGTCAATCTCTCATACAAAAATTTATATACACATTGTTATGCGACACTAGTTGCAGTCCCTACAATGTGACAGCACACTCTCCCTTTCAACCCCAGATTTCTTGTGAACATTCATTCAGTTCCTGTCCCTTTCTGTCTTCTCATCCTGCCTTTGGGCAGGAGCCGCCCACTTGGTCTCTTGTATTGATTGAACTAAGAAGCACAGTCCTCACGAGTATTATTTTTTGTTTTATAGTCCAGTCTCATCTTTGTCTGAAGAGTGGGCATCGGGAATGGTGTTAGTTCTGGGTTAACAGAGTGTCCGGGGACCATAGTTTCAGAGGTGCCTCCAGTCTGTGTCAGACCATTAAGTCTGGTCTTTTTATGTGAATTTGAGTTCTGCACCCCACTTTTGTCATGCTCCATTGGGGACTCTCTGTTGTGTTCCCTGTCAGGACGGTTGGTGGTGGTAGCTGGGCACCATCTAGTTCTTCTAGTCTCAGGCTGATGAAGTCTCTGGTTTATGTGGACCTTTTGTCTCTTGGGCTAATATTTTCCTTGTGCCTTTGGTGTTCTTTATTCTCCTTTGTTCCAAGTGGGTTCGGACCATTTGATGCATCTTATATTGACCAATAATTCTATTGTTTTGCATACAGTTTACACTTTAAGTGTTCACATACGTGTTACATAGGATTTTCTGATAAATATATTGTATAACTTAGTATTGTGCTAGAGTATTATAAAGGCAGCTTTTTATGAATGGAGAAAAACTACTTGGTTTAGTGTGGTAAATATTCCCATATGTTTCACCTATTGAACAATTTAATCGTGATGATGCTGATAAAGGTATAAATAATTAGAACTATTGCTGAGAGTGAATACTTTCGTGATTCAGGTTTTTGATACGACTTCAGTCACCATCTATAGTCAGATTACTTTAAAATCTTTATTTCCCACCAGGGCGTACCTTCCCAGAGCCCTAGTCTTGCATCTTCTACTGCCTTCTACATGTAGTCTCCCACTTATGACGTATTCAAGTTAGGATGAACCACACTTACAAGCGTCTTTTTTTTTTTTTTGTACATGTTATCATTAGTGATACATATTACATACGGTGTTAAAATATATCTGTAAATTTATATGTAATGTTTTCAATCTCCAAACATAAACAAAGATTTGATTTATAAAGGTACTGATCATAAAATGCAATAATAATGAAAATTAAAAGATAAAATGAGGTAGTTGACTTACGCTGGAACTGACTTATGATGGAGTTGTCAGCAACTACCTGTGCTTATCTTTTAGGCACATTAATGTAAACATCTAAAATTATGTGAATTAACTTTCTCACAAAACCTATGTTCATAACAGTACTTCATTAATACTTCTACTTGCTCCAAATCATAGGTATTGGTTTATGTGAATACCTCTCTTCTTCATTGTAAATACCAAGCTTTTTATAAAAGGTGACTTTATGTACTCATTTATATCTTTTTTTTTTTTTTT